CCCCCCCCCCTCAGCTTACTCCGCCTATCTGTGGCAGACGTCGTGGTAGCGTGAGCGTTAGCATGGTAGCGTTAGCATGGTAGCGTTAGCATGGTAGCGTTAGCATGGTAGCGTTAGCATGGTAGCATTAGCGTGCCGACGTGGGCACACCTCCTGGAAGAAGTGGGTGGATTGCCTGTGTCTCTTTTGCATTTAAAGAGACAGGCACTCCAAAGCGAGCGCTCTGAACGGGGCTGTTTTGGGTTAGGGTTAGGGTTAGGGTTAGGGTTAGGCAGGGGGACTGAACTGCTATTGGGCTTCATCCTTATGGGATTTTGACCAAAGCTTGTCACTGACATTACATTAGGACACCAGGGAACTAGTTTAACTTGTTGAAATAGGGTATAATATGTCCCCAGCTGGCTTACCAGGTTGTCCAGCTCCGGGTCCTCGCTGAAGAAGGGCTTGTGTTCTCGCTCTTGCTGGTGGACAAAGTTTTCGATGTCTACGTCAAAGCTGGCGGACGTGATGCATTCGGATCCCTGCGTGGCCTGTTCGCACTTCTCAAACAGCAGCGCCAGGAGAGGGAAGAGTGGATGTCTGGGAGGGAAGGCAGACAGAAATGTTTCTCAGCTTTAGCAACGTTTCTCATTTCTCTACATACAAATCAATACTTTAGATGAATTTGCCACCGGTTTTCCTGTTTATTATCCATCTGAGGCTTTCAAATGACTGAATAAATTATCTTTAAATAATCAAATTGATGCTTCAATGGAAAAATGTCATACGAATTAAACAAGACTGAACAACAACCAAGAACTTCAACAGGAGCTTTGTCTGTCTAATGATCGAATATGTAGTTTTGTTTGAGCCGATCTCACCAAAATTCGACCCAAAATTTGGATAATGAGTTTCTCTGCCACCTCTTTGTAAAGTGAGGTAAAGTGTAAATTATGTCACTTCCCCATTAGGCCACAAAGAAACCAGCCTGGATAAACTCGTTATCAATATTTACGCAGAAGAAACAACTATTCTAAATCTTTGGGGAGGAAAAAGTACAAGTTGTCAGGCCTTACAAACATCATGAGCATCAACAAAAACAGGCCAGTCTGTGAACAAGATTTTTTGGGTTTCCCCATGTTTATCTTAATTTAAAATGCATGCTAATCCTTCAGTGCTTTGGTCAGTTTACTTCCTGTTAGCATGGATTAGTTTTTCCAAGTCTGGCTGGGACACTTTTCCTCTGATTCCTCTGATGTTTTGTAAAGTTCAGGTCTAAGTCCAGTGTTACCCCGAGATTTCTAGCTTAATGGAAGTATGTACATATTGAACAAAAGGGGTCCCAGGATTGACCCCTGGGGAACCCCACATGTCAGACCCATTCGGTCTGAGACCCAGTTCCCAAATTTAACAAAGTAACACCTGTGCTCGAGCTAAGACTTGAACCAGTTTAAAGCCATATCAGAGATTCCCACCCAGACTTCTAAACTCTGTAAAAAAATAATATCACATGATCAAAGGTGGTGCTCAGATCCAGCAGAACTAAGGCCGAGACTTTTGCACTTTTAATAGTGTGACAGTACCTGGATATTCTCTAAAGAGGACACCAATTTCTCCTTGAGATCCCAAAAGATTTTCTTTTTTACATTAAACCGGATAGAGTTTACTGGACCTGGAACAGTCTGGATTCAGCAAAAGCTAATTTATGAAGCATTTCTATTTTGAGGGAAATCCCTTAAGTGATAGCCAGGGTTAAATGAGAGGTGGTGTAATATCTATCATCTGAACAGCTGTTGTTCTTCAGTGAGGAACTAGACTCTCACCTTGATCCACACCTTTACAATACTTTTCCATTCTCATACTGTCCTTTGTGTCGCCTTTAACTCTCAGAAATCCCTTGGTAAGCCCTCAATATACTTATTCATATTTTGGATTAGGATAAGGAGTCTTGGCAGAGTGTTATAAAATATCAAAAGCTGCTTATTATTTCCACCTCGAGTTCCTTTATTTATTCCTGACTCAAATGGGACATTTTACCTGTTAAAAAAGCCACTATCAGAGTACTAGAACGGCACTTTATTATGAATCCAAATTCAAAAATAAAAATGTGATGAGACCTAGGGCTGATTCAGTTTTTTTTTGTGGAAAGATTTGCTCAAGTGGGCCTCGTATGTGAACATGCAGACATGACAGGAGAGCACAGGTGCTAGTTTCCACTCGGGGAGGTCCTGCTAATGCCGCCTATTCGGTGGCACAGATCAACGAGCCACTCAGAGACGCCGCGGTTAATTAATGCTCCTAAATCCAGCTGCACTTTTCCAACCATCACGGGACGCGAAAAGGGTCTGCTGTCATCATGGGAACGAATAAGGGAAAAAAGGGAGACTGCTACATTTTATAAGGGATTCCTACTTGGAGCCCTGAAACCATGTTAGCTTATTTGTTAGTTTATTTGTTAGCTTATTTTTTAGCCTATTTGTTAGCTTATTTGTTAGCCTATTTGTTAGCTTATTTGTTAGCTTATTTGTTAGCTTATTTGTTAGTTTATTTGTTAGCTTATTTGTTAGCTTATTTGTTAGCTTATTTGTTAGCTTATTTGTTAGCTTATTTGTTAGCTTATTTGTTAGTTTATTTGTTAGCTTATTTGTTAGCTTATTTGTTAGCTTATTTATTAGCTTATTTGTTAGCCTATTTGTTAGCTTATTTGTTAGCTTATTTGTTAGCTTATTTGTTAGCCTATTTGTTA